TCTTATTATAAAAACTTGCGTGTACAGTGAGGTTCAGCGCCATTTTCTTTCTTCCTGCTGAGGTATGGTGCGTGGGTCGTTTCGTTGTTAATAACTTCCAGATTCTGGGATACTACGCCCCAAACACTACTAGTAGATTATAGAGTAGCATCTTTTATTTTGTACCTTACGTTTAGTTGTTTTGGTTTGGGTGCTACCCCGTCCATTTTCTTATGGGATTTTAACCTTCCGCGGTAAGTTCCTTTTTTGCATGTCCTGAAGAAGTTTGTTCAATATCTGCGGCCTTTTAGTGGGAAGACATTGCGGAGAGCCATCATTCACACTCCTCCAGCTTTGTGCTGTAGCTGCCTTGTAGCTGTTTTGCAGCCGATATTGCTGGAAGCCACCCCTTCCCATTGACAAGAAACCATGATGTTATAGATTTATTTATATATTGATTATCGCTGACTGATATTCTTAGTGTTCCTGATTTTGTTTGGCATTTTACGTATTCAAATATGGGGCAGTGCCTACAAGACACCTTCTATTGGGCATTACATTTAATTGATCATGAGTTTGATTTTTGAGCTGCTATAACCTTATTTTAGGACAAGGGACAACTTTCTAAGGGTATACCAGCTTAGTACATTTTTATCTTTTTTGCATTTGCTTTACTTTTCTTATAAAAAAATGTACAAGCTTTTTTCTTCAAGTTTGAGTTTAATTGGTAGTTTTGTCTCAGACAGAGGGTAGAGAGTAGATTTTTAAGGAGTCCTTCTCTCTCTAGGGTTTTTTTTATTTATGTCGTAAATTTTGGAAAACGAGGCAAGCGCCCCTACTTTCTGATGTGCCCACTACTGGCCATTGATTTTTGACCCGAGCGCTTGTGAGCTGCGCTTAGAGCTGTAACTGGAAGAAGACCACTGTCCCGATAAGTTTAGGTTTAGGCGTTAAACTGTCTGGAAAGCCTTCATCTGTGTACCCACATTCTGCAGGGTTGTTTATCATGGTCTAATAATTTTATTGTGCAGTAGTTTTTAATAATATCTTTTTTTTTACTTGCACTCCAGTCGTGGAGCATATGTACTGTTTGAATAGAAAATAGATATATTGTGATTTTTTTTAAATATCTTGTTTTATTTGGCTCTTTGTATACAATTAATTAGGTTTAGTCATTGCTGTTACATTCTTTTCTTTTGTGTGGTGGTCAAGCAAAACAAGTTCCGACTAACATCTCGGGAATTTGTGGCTTAATCTGTCTGAAGTCACTGGTGCTCTTAACCTCCCCTACTCTCCGCTTTATTGAGCTAGGGCCACTTGACAGCGGTTTTGCATTGGCTCAACCTTAGATTTCATTTAACGTATTTTAATAATTAATTAAAAAAGGGAAGAGGAATCACACCAACATTGCCTCTTGTTTATAAAAAAAGGCGTGGCAACCTCGTAACTCTCTACAGATCTTCTCTTACAAATAACACCGCATAATACATAATGTTGTTGATGTTAACTGAGGCAGAGGCATTTTTGTGTTAGTCGTCAACGCCGGCTATAACGAATCAGGTGTCAATATAGGAAAAATTTGTTTGTAGCGTTTTGTTTTTTGTATGGAAATGACCATTTCTAAGTGAAAGAGCTTGTAGCAAGTACAATATGAATCTGAATTGGACAAAAAATCAAAACAAAATATAGCTATGTCTACTTGGCCTTGACGGATCTGTCAGAATTATGTGTCCTTTGCCGATATGGAGAATTTTGAAATATTACTAGATAACCAGCTGTCATTATACCGTAATGGATACTCGTGAAATATGGTGTATGAAATTAAACGCACAGCACCTATCTTGCAATACCAATTTTTGTTGTTGAAAAAATACATTTTAATGCATCCTAGTCCAATAATAATTCTACAACCGAATCTCGATTGTTGAAAATGTAACACAAGAAATTTGACTTCCCCAGCTGTTCGTCTATGTACCTTAAAAATATTAAAACACGCAAAATTAAAACATGTGACATATAAATAAGTCAACATTCAAGTATACTTTTCAATAATAAGCAAAAAATATATGATTGATATGATTATTTTGCTTAAGTTATACATGCTAGGACAACGTAAGTTCATAACAATTCGTCGGGCTTTTATCATCATTATTATTAATGACCTGTGGAGATTATTCAAAATTTCAATCTTTCAGAACTCAATCACTACACTGATCCGTCCTGAAAAATTCAAATTATGGGACTTAAACGAGGTTTTTCTACTGACCGATTCAATTGATAGATTACAGAAACGTTCCTATTTCGCATACGTGAGATTTTCCCATCACCTCGTATACGTTGCATTCGTGCATAAATCTCTCCTTTCACACTTTCGCATACGTGTATTAGCTAACAAACTGCCGGTGCCGGAAAGTCACAGTTACAGGAAATTGTAGTTCCTTTCAGAAATAACGATGGAAGTCTGACATATCTTACTCATTGATAGAGCAATTTGGCGGCAAATTCTTTGCTGACATCAGATCCCTATTTTGACATAGAGTAAATCTATTGGTTGTAATGATGATACACGCTCCGTTTGGAATATATATAATATACTTCAAGATCAAGCGAAGGTAATTTTTACCATGAGGCATGAAATTCAACAAGGTTTGTTTGAACTTGGACGTTGGAGATCAATTGGGGTGCTAGAGATTGATGTCACCTAATACTACATTCGCAGGTGCGAGATGAAATGAGAGATCCTACCGCCATCTATGAGGATTTTTCACAGCTATGTTTCTCCTCTTTGCAATAATTAGAAGTCTAGTTTGAAAAGGTTAGTGTCTCGTAGATTACGCTGTTGCTATATGCTCGTATCCAGAGAGCACAGAAGGTCTTAAGGATGTCCATTTTATACACTAATACCTATTATTATTTTCAATGTTTAACCTCTGATCTCTGTGCTTAGCTTATAGCTTTTGCTGAACTCCTTTATTATGTATAATAATATACTAAGTGACATATAAATCCGAACACCCAGTTTAAATGGTTTTATTTTAATAAAATTTTGTATAAGTACTTAATGAAGCATAATAAGTAAATGATAAAAATTTCAAAATGATTGCACTGCTAATGTGTGGATGCACCCTGATGTGCTACGCATTCTCCAACGCGCCTAGGCATGCTTCTGATCAGGTGGTCAATGTCCTCCTGTGGTATCTCATTCCAGGCAACCACCAACTCCTCTCGAAGTGCTTCTAGAGTCTGAGGAGGACGTTGCAAATTGAGCAATCTCCTACCAATCATATCCCACACGTGCTCAATTGGGGATAAGTCGGGAGATTTTGGTGGCCATGGTAACAATGTGACATCATTATGTTGAAAGAAGTCTATTGTGACTCTTGCAACATGTGGTCGGGCATTATCTTGTTAGAAAGTTGGATCTGCCAGGGTGTCAAGATAGGGTAAAAGATGGGGTTCTAGAACTTGGTCAATGTCCTCCTGTGGTATCTCATTCCAGGCAACCACCAACTCCTCTCGAAGTGCTTCTAGAGTCTGAGGAGGACGTTGCAAATTGAGCAATCTCCTACCAATCATATCCCACACGTGCTCAATTGGGGATAAGTCGGGAGATTTTGGTGGCCATGGTAACAATGTGACATCATTATGTTGAAAGAAGTCTATTGTGACTCTTGCAACATGTGGTCGGGCATTATCTTGTTAGAAAGTTGGATCTGCCAGGGTGTCAAGATAGGGTAAAAGATGGGGTTCTAGAACTTCGTGGATATAACGCTGCGCGTTCATGTTACCTCTGATGAAGATTAAAGGTGACCTGGAACCATAAGCTATAGCACCCCAAACCATAACTCCAACAGTGTGATGAACATGTCTTTCAACAAAAAACTGTGGATTCCTCCTTTCACCACGTCGCCTTCTAACCCTGGCACGACCATCGTGCATGCCTAAACAAAATCGAGACTCGTCACTTAAGACAATACTGTTCCATTCCTGATCTCAGAGTGACCGTTGTCTGTACCACTCAAGGCGATTACGTCGGTGTTCTCGAGTTAAGGGTATGAAAACAAGCCAAAACTTCTCATTCGTCGGTAAACACTTCGCATGCCAATAGGTCTTCCGTGTTCTGCAAACCATTCATTTGCAATGGACCTGGTAGTGGAGAAACGGTCCCTTAAGGCCAATAATCTTAGGCGGCGATCTTCACGGTCTGTTGTTCTACGGCGGCGTCCAGTGCCCCTTGCTCTTTGCGTACGGCCTTCTCGAAGCCATGCCTGACAACACCTAACCACAGTGTCTACACTTCTTTGCACTCTAACTGCAATTGCCCGAAAAGCAAGTCCAGCTTCCCGAGGTTTCACTATACGGCACCTATTAAACTCACTAAGTTGACGACATCGTACAGGTCTCCGTACTCTAGGCATCGTAACCGATCGTAAAGGATGTCAAGAACCAAAATCCGCCAACGTTGATTTTTTACTGCGGCTGAAATATTCATTTTTAGAGCGTTAGTGAATTAAAAAAAAGCAGTATAAAAACCGGAATGTCTAACTGATAAGGCTGAAAATTTTTTCACTTGTTATTTACAGTAATATAAATACATTCACCAACTTTTATTAAAATAAAACCATTTAAACTGGGTGTTCGGATTTATATGTCACTTAGTATATATAAGATAACTTTCGGGGTGTTCGATGAACATCTCGACAAACAAACATAGTTAAAACGTTTTCTTTTGTCTCCTAGAAGAGATTTGATTTTCAGAATTCAGCTTTCTGAAAATTTAGACATATTAGAGAAGATATGAGAAATCCAAATGCTCGACACCCAGTTAATCATTAACATAAAACATTATTTTTTCTGATTAATTTGTGTCAATATAGAGTGGAACCTCAAGTGAAACCGTATAATCACCTGGTGCAAAAACAGCTAAACTTTCAAATGATTTCTTTTGAATGACCAAACAAATTTTGTTTTACAAAATTAAAATGGTTTATGAAACAATCTGTACCTACTATTTATTTCAGTATCTGCTGAGAGGGCTGGTGAAAAAAGCTACCACGAGCCGGAGTTAGCATCTCAAGGTTGGTTAAGACGCTTAGTTGTCCTAGCACCCACCGTCTTTACGTCTTTACGGTGTCGTATATCCTTTGTAAGACGTATTTTCCAATACCTCAAAAAGACGTTATGCAAACTTCTTTAAGATATAAATGTAATAAATTATTGGGAAGAGGAAAACTCTCACAGTTGACGCTACGGTATGTCATTTCATCTCATATATTTGTAACATAACCTTAAAATAGAGCGCTGACACGGAACAGTAGAAAACTGTGGAAATCAAGCAGGCCATAAGAGCGTCCTACAATTGTAGGATACTCTTTTCTCCTTGTACAATAGCGAACTGAGTGAAGATTGTTAAACTAGTTACAGTGGATGTCAGGAACGTATCGTCAGTCGTTCCTACAATCGTAGGGTTCCTTTATGACCTTCTCGGTTTTCATAGTAGTTTCTCTCCTTCAGAAAGGCTGTGGTATTTCTAGATTTCTACTGTTCCAAGTCAGCGTCAGCGCTCTTCTACTGTGAGGCTGCTTTTTTGAATTGCAGGAAATTTCAAGCTGATATTTATATTTATAAATCAAAAGCATAAGCAATTTGATGCAAATAGTTATTTCTAACATAACCTCAAAATAGAGCGCCGACACGGAACAGTAGAAAAATGTGAAAATCAAGCAGGCCATAAGAGCGTCATACAATTATAGGATAACCTTTTCTCCTTGTACAATGGCGAACTGAGTGAAGATTGTTAAATTAGTTACTGTGGATGTCAGGGACGTGTCGTCAGTCGTTCCTACAATTGTAGGGCTCCTTCATGGCCTTCTCGATTTTCATAGTAGTTTCTCTCATTCAGCAAGGCTGTGGTATTTCTAGATTTCTACTGTTCCGAGTCAGCGTCAGCGCTCTGCTATTGTGAGGCTGCCTTTTTTGAATTGCAGGAAATTCCAAGCTGATATAAACCAAAAGCATTAGCAATTTGATGCAAATACTTATTCGTAACATAACCTCAAAATAGAGCGCAGACACGGAACAGTAGGAAACTATGAAAATCAAAGAGGCCATAAGGCGTTCTACAATTATAGGAACGACTGACGATATGTTCCTTAGTTACCTCCATATCAATTTGTCTTTTTATATACGTGGCGAGTTCTTAGAGTGGGCCGGCAACAAAAATTGTAGCAAACTGTACGATCCTTACTCGGAAAATATTCTTAGCTCTACAAGGTCGCCCAAACATACATTTTTTAATACGGAAAGCCCTACTCTTCATTATAAACCTTTTCAAGCATAGCAGTTTGATGTAACATACTATAATATATGGTTTTAGTTTTACTTTTAATTGAACAGCGACCACTGACCGAGTGCGTTTGATTGATTAAGGAATGAATGAGGAAGCACAGTTTGCCATTCTGTTGCGGGAATTCATCCAGCCGTTGGAAGTACCATCGACAGAGGAGCATAAAACCATAAGAGAGATATTGCACTGTCTGCGACATAGTGAAATATTTCGCAGTGTTGCAAAACAAATTTTTCGTTTGGATGCGGTCGGCCTAGCGCTTTCACATGCTTCTATAAAACTATTCCGTCATTCATACTGGGAGAAATACCCATATGATGCGGTTCGAAAACCTGTACCTACCCGAAACAGGAGCTTTTCTTCTAAAAATTGCGAAACCCTCCTACAAAATATAAACCATCAATAATTGTTGTACACTGGAATACTTTCCATATCGGGAGGTGCTGCTGCTCCAACTACACGTACTTAATGCTAAGAGGATCCAACTTCTGTTTAGTGTACGATGTTTCGACCACTACTGTGGCCGTTTTCAAGTACAATGACAACTAATGTACATCTTGTTTATCTGCCATCTACAAAATATACTGTAAATAATTGTCATGTAGCTTTGCGGAAAGTCAGATGAAAAACAAAGGAAAATCGTGGGCATGTACACAATAAAAGAACAAGAGCAGAAATAGAAGGATTGGTAACCCGAGCGACGTACATTTTTTTATTGGCTTAATTTCTGTATTTTTATATTTCAACCACCACGAAATGCTTAAGTCGTAAACTCCCATAGGTACCATGGGGCTATCGTGGTACTTCATCATGGGCATGTACGCAATGAAGGAGCATGAGTGGAAATGTCTGAAATCGATGGTTTTTTAATAGTTGTCATTGTAATCGCTCAGAAAACATAAACATGTAGTTTTAATTCGGCCAGACAGCGAAGATCTATGAACATGAAATACACAGGATAAGTTACAGGAGTTACATACGTGATGTTGTTTCTAGATAGGGAGGTCTATTCTTCTGGCATGGACGACCTTAAGCTTATGTCACACGAACGACTGGTCGGTGATCAGAGTCTTTCTGCCAATATACCACCTATCAGCTTTCCACGATGGTGCCGCCACGTCTCAAGCTTGCTGAATTAATAAGCTCGGCTTGATCCGTTACTGCTAGGATATGAAGATTGCGGAACAATCTGCCTGAAAATGTGTTTTGCAGTTCTGGGCTGAGGAATTTTGTCTACATGACTTGGGGGTTATTTTGACTCAAAATTGTCAATTAATGTACATATTGAAAAAACATTGAACTGTGAGTATAAGTTGTTAGGTTTTGCAAATCGGCATTGTGTAGATCTGTAACTTTATTGCTATAAAATTTTGTATCGTTATTTGGCTCGTTCATTACTTAATTAGTGGTGTTCCATCTGGTCCATAATTTATAGAGACAGATCAACCAGTTAGAGCGTGCGCAGAAATAGTTTTTGAGAATCTGGGGATATAAAATGGGTTTCGTTGGGGAGGAGTATAGTTTTACTGCTACTCTTCTCTACAAGAATACAATTCCTCTTGACGACGTAGGAGTTCGACATATCTTCGTCCTCAACCAAATTATGACTTGAGTGAACCCGCAACTCGTCTTCTTAGGTTAGGTAATAGATATATATATATAGTTTAGAAGTATTTGGAACTCCAGTCAATGAGTTTAAATATAACAATGCAATTCTTTCAATCAGGACAGTCTTGTATTTGTAATAAGGATTTTACCCGTTGATTAAGTAGATAAAAAAATCTTCTTTTTAGTACCTATCAAAATATATTGAAATCATAAAATATCAGCAACTTTGTGCTGACCAACAGTCTAGAACAAATCCACGGATCACCTGGTCTTACTGCAAATTTTAATAACACATTGAATATGCTAATTGCCGTAATACTATATTCGTGTGTAGGCAGGTGCTTAGTTGAAAGTGCCATATATCCATCTGACGTATACCAAGGTTGACTTAACCAAGCTGCAGTTGATCTCCGCACATTTTCCATATCGTTTCCATATGCCTGTTGTTTGTTTGTTATACCTTATACATCAGCTACCAGCTTTCTAGGTATAAACACGGCAATTAGAATCGCATAACTATATCTTTTTTTATATCAGAACCAGTTCCGGATACGTGAATCGCTTTATTCAACTTGTATGGCATTTTTCCTAACATGCAATTTTTCACAAGGTAATCATAGACGTGCTGAACTAGTCCCGCAAATTACTGATATCTGCTGGAATCTTTATCGATGAAAAATATGGCGTCACGCAGGTTAACCTTACACTTCCCACGCAACGCTGTTAGTAGTTCATAAAGGTACATGTTAGTTCCTCTGAGGATAAAGCTGGTTACAAACATGTATAACAAAAAAAAATTAATGCACCAAGTCATCCAAACAGGTCTATACAGTTAGTCCATACCACCATTCCATTTGATAACGCTAGAAATGTCTTCCCTGTTCTATTATCTGGTAACGGTGCTGAACCCCACCTGTCAACCATGCCATAAGCGTCAGTCATGATTCTATAACTTGAGATCAGGAGCGCCCGCGACCAGGGGCCGACTTACGAGGAGCCTGTAGAAAATAAAGCAAAAATTTTTTTCTGAAAATAATCAGTAGCGTTTAAAATGTAAAAAATCGGAGTTTGGGCAATTTCTATTTCTTTAGTTTTTTCGTCGTTGGCGAAGTAGTGAAATTGTGGCAAATCATCAGAATCCAAGAGGGACTTTCCAAGTTATAGACGGGCCAGGGATCAGTGGACGGAGAATCCGACACACAGGCAGACCGACGGAAATGAATGCCAATGGTTTTCCATTATGTACATGTCATATAACATCCAAAAAACATATCTTACTTTAGAATTTTTTAGCGATTATAATACTTCCCTGCCAGTGCCGAAGCCTGAATGTATCCTATGGAACCATCTTCCATTCACTATTTGATCACTGGATGGAACCACATGTGAATCTTCCAACCTCTAGCTGGGGTGCTCGATACATACATATGTATTTAGAAGTACCTTTTTGAAAATCTCGGTATATGCGCTGTTCGGTTTATCCAATTTTTGCATAGTACGTCAAAGCTTGTAGCACGGTGGGCGCTTGATGCTCCTCCGATTGATGAAACGCGGTGAGCGACACTTGTTCCTTCCATCAAGGCGGACCTTCATTCAAAGTTGCGGGAAACCTATTAGTTTCCTGCTGGAGACGTAGGATTACGTTTGGCTAACTTCTGATGTTCTCAGATTTGTAATAGAGCATATTCGCATGTGCCCGTTTGTCTGCTCGCTTTTGGCCATGCTTACAGAGATGAAAAGCAAACAGATCTTATTCAAATTAAATTTCCCGTGGAGATTATTCCCAGTACTACCAACCTGCTGCATTTAAAAGAATGGCGTCAAATAGGGCGACTCTTTCCACGCAACGCTGTCATCACTTAAATGATTATATTCGGCACCGGTTAACCCCTTTGAGGAAAAAGTTACCTACGGACATGTATAACAGGAAAATTAAATGGATCAGGTCTGCTATATAATTAGTCTAGAGTCACCAGAAATTGGATAATACTATAAATTTATTTGCTCTCCTACCGAAAGTATCGACCGCCTGACAACGCTGCTGAACCACTCCCATCATTTCCAACAGAAAACCTGCATTTGAATGAACACGATCGTTTCGTTCACGTTCACACATCTCCTCTCCCCCTCTCCAATTAATTTCTAATTTTCCAAATATTGTTAAGTCTGACTCCTCCCCCCCCCACTTTTAA